TTCTACGCTTTAGGCGTACAGGAGAGACAGATATTCACTTATTCTTAATGCTTAAACCACACCACAGCAATGCTTTTCATCCTGAGCTCCTCACGTTCGACAGGACACTAAACCTTAAGCTCAAATTCTATCGTCAGATTAGCATTTGATCACCGAACTTACTGACCAGTTTGTTGTGCTTCTGCACCGACTATATCGTGCTTAGAAAACTTCTTCCTTGCTTATAGCTCGCTTTCAATTGATACTGCACAATTTCTGTACATTAATCTGATTGATGTTAATTTATTGTAACGGCCCTCTATAACTGAACGAACAAATCACAAGGACCAACGGACAACAATAACATAGTGGCATGAAAAACCAAACAATGAGTATTTTAGGCTATACAAAAGGAAGAACTTCATTTGATAGTGAAAATTTCATACACATTGAATTTGCAGGTTTACACGCGCAAAATGCTAATTACAGGCTTAATAAGATAAAAACAAAGTGTTGTGTAGGTGTGCATTTAGATCAGTCAAGGGAATATCAATAGCGCGCACATGCTTGATCAAAGATAGCAAACAAATTCGGAAGCATGTGGAAAAATCGGCTGAGATCACGCGGTGATACCGCGGCTGTTCCCAGCCGGTACCCAGACGACGAAGAAAGATATAACCTGTCGAAACGACTTAATACTAAAACTCACCCTATTTTACCTAGTCGTCCTTCTCCATTGCCTCATCGTCTGGTTGAATTCTCTCCTCTTCGCCCATCGCCTCGTCCTCGTCGTTGTTCTCGTGCACCTCCTCATGTTCAGCGCTCTTTTCTTTGACTTCTGTCGATTCCGGACTTTTTTCTCGCTCATCCTCATCACCACTGCGTGAATAGCTGCGATCGCGACCCCTTCTTGCCAAGTTTGTGTCTTTAGAGTTGCCAGCCTCTGCGTCATTAACTCCAGAGGTGTTCTGTTCTTGGTGGTCATCCTCGATCGAATTTTCCAACTCTCGCTCTAGCTCTTTCTGCCGAAGTTCCATGAGACCTACAAAGCGGCGGTTAATCCACGAATGCAGAAAAAAACCACGTTACGGGATTTCACCCAGTGCCAAAATTCAACAGCAAAAAAATGGAAAACTTCAAAAATTACATGAATTCTCATGTTGATAATGCTATATTTGAAAGATGCAAGAACTTTTCGATCCATTTTCTACTACAATTTTGTGAGTAGAATGTCCTCAAAATACGTGGTGTTCATACTTTAGGAAGAATAGACAATGTA